CCCGCGGGGGCGGCTTCCCCGGAGGGGTGCCGGGGGCAGGCGAGGGAAGCCGGAGGGCTTTGCTCGGAGTGATCTTGTAGCAGGTAATTTTACGTCAAGGAAGAAAGAGCGAACGAGGCGAGGGATTTGCGGGCGGGGGGGGGATATGTAAGATTTACAATGAGCTACGGTGAACTTAATAACTTCGTGGTTCCCAAAACTCTCCTGGGTTGCACGTTTCCAATCCGCGAGGGAAGCCGGAGGGCTTTGCTCGGAGTGATCTTGTAGCAGGTAATTTTACGTCAAGGAAGAAAGAGCGAACGAGGCGAGGGATTTGCGGGCGGGGGGGGGATATGTAAGATTTACAATGAGCTACGGTGAACTTAATAACTTCGTGGTTCCCAAAACTCTCCTGGGTTGCACGTTTCCAATCCGCCACAGCGAGCATTTTTTTTTTTTTTTTTTTGTTTTAACTGTTTTTCTGACTGCAAACTGCAGCAGCCCGTGCTCTGTGGGTCTTTTTAGTACGTTCATCCGCTTCGCCGGTATGATCTCTCTTCCCTCATGTTGCGCAGTTACCTCTCGCCCCGTCTGCCGCACTCTTAACAAGGGTCCCGGTGCCAGGCCGGTGGCTTTTCTGCTCCCCGGTGCCGGGGCGAGCTGCAGACATTCAGCGCTGGGAAATGCGTGGCATCCCTCTGTACCGTAGGCAGGCATGGAAAAAAATTAAAGCTTTTTACATAAAGAGGCTGCTCTAGGTATTTTTGGCAATTCCCGGTTAAGCGCAAGGTTTTCCACCTTTTCCATAATAAAATTCGGGTTCGTATTTTAAACCCTTACTTAAGTCATCTCAACTTAAACCAAGCTGGCTCTCTCTCCAGGTCCAGGGCTGCATACCTGCCTGCCTTCCCCTGCCGCCGCGCCTAAGGAAGTGGCTCCCGACGAGACCCGGCACTAAGCGTAGGTAGATGTGCAATTGCCCATAAAAAGATAAGGGAGCCCCCGCGCCGTTTCGCCGCCCCTGCTGACAGTGGGGAGGTTGCGGGGTTACAACAACCAGACAAAAGTGATGTGCCCTCCCTCCCATCGGGTCAGGCAGCCCGGCTCTGCGCTCCGGCGTGGGTCTGTGTTTACAGACACTTGCCTTTGTTTATAACACTTGGAGAGAAGAATCTCCCCCCCTTGTTTGCTTTTCCTTGCCTGTTAGCTGCCCAGCTGATAAACTGGAGCATCTCGCACTCCCCCCCTGCCCAACCTTTCTTTTTTTTTTACGGC